CAAAGAAAATATATTCGATGAGCGAACGAGAGGAGGGTTTATTTTTTATTGGGGAAAAAGCTGTTATCGAGCTTCGTTCGATTTCAATCTGAAAAATCTCTCGATAAAAATCGAGAATGACGCGGGGTTAATCAAATTATCGTTAAGTCGTTGGACAAGATTCGTGTTTGAAAATATTCTCCATTATCTATCCTCGAGAAAGATATTTTTATTTTTATTTTTAGTTTTTCAATAGTGACAATAATATACGTTTAAATCTTTAATCTAATATAATAAATTCGTCTTCATTGAATTGGATGAATATAAGAGTATATTTCATTATTATTTACAAAGTTAAAAGAAGGAAGATAGGATCGAATCGAACAGATATCACTGTTTTTTTAATATTCACAAGAGCTTATCACGTTGCCTCATGTAATACTGGATCGAATATGGATCAAGAAATTAAAATATACTTTGATCTTTACACTTTTGGAATAAAATTGGCGAATCTTATTCTCTTTCGTGGCGAATAATTTTTTTAAAAAATTTTTTCCAAAGATCCAATTAAGATTTTTCACAATATTCGATATTCTTTTCTTCTATCGTCTGTTGTTTTCTTTTTGCAAGATTATTCGTACACCGATACTAAAACCGTACAAAAAGAAAAAAAGAACTTTTTATTTAATTAATATAACTTTTCATAATAAAATTGGACAATTATAAAATAATAAAAAAATTTATGAACGTGATATCGAATCGAAAACGAACAATCAACTTTTCATAGGGAAAATTTCAATTTTCGAATATTAATATAGATGTGTAAAACCAGATAATCATACGAGAGAATGATATTCAATAAAGACGTAAATAAACGTTGTAATCGTTTGAATTTCTCAAAGAATTCGAATTTACTTGAAATTATTCCTTTTCCCCGCGATTCTTTCGAAACTTAAAATTAAGTTCGAATCTCTTCTAAAACGTAGTTTATTTCCAACAATTTTCGAAACTCCACTCGTTTATTCGCTTTTGCCTCGCCTCTTCGTATATTTTGCGGAGGCGTAGCAATGATACTTATGTATACATATACCAGTTTCGCGTTTCAACTCAAAATGAGTCGAACGCGAGAAAAAAAATGACAGATAAAAAATGCAGCGTGACACATTGCTCTTGCCTTTTATTATTGTAAACTACATAGCGATTTAATAATAAAACGGAATTGAATTTCACTCACCACAACAAGCGCGTGCGTCAGAGCAGTCGATGACCTCGACCTCCTCGGTGTCATGCCGACGACCTCGCCTCTCATGATGCTCTCGACGACTGTGCAAAAAAGGAACAAGCTAAAATCGACGGGATTATTTTTTATCTTTTTCTTCTCCGCTATTTTTAAAAAAAAAAAAAAAGTACTCACGCGATGCTCGGAAAAAGTTCTTCTTCTTCTTTTTTAAAAGTTTTATCGATTTTTAAGAACGAATTCAAACGCGTCATCGTTTATCGATCGAAGAGATTTTCTTTTTTTTTTTTTTTTTTTTTTTT